CTTAATGGAAAAAAGCTCCCTCAAATTTACTTCTACCTTGCTACGCCGCCGGTGCGAGATTACTCATTTCTATTCACGCTCCGTCCGAAATTCTCCTGCTGCTAAATTAACCTCATATCTTCCCTTCAACAAGAGGAAACAGAGCATTAGTCATCTAGATCGTCTTTAAACAGAGCTGGATCGTTACGCAAGGTGTGTCGGCTGTTCTGAATGGCTACCTTACGTATCCTGATTGTTTTCAAAGTACGATTTTTTTACGATAGATAAAGTAAAATGGAAGTTTTATTTGTTTGTACAATCATGGAGAATCAATGTTAATGTACACAATAAACCTGCACATTGAGTAGAACCTCAGGGTTATACGTAAAGAACCTATATAATGTCAACACAATGGTCCATCTTGCTGACTAGATAGCTCCTTTCATAGCGTTACCTGTGGAGGGTATGAATTGCTTGATTGTTGCTATTATCGTTTATCTTAATACTTATAGGTCTCAGCCCTCATGAATCGACACCGACTAGGGCACTCTTTCGAGAAACAATTATGGATTCAAGAATTACGTGGCAAAACGCATATTGACTCAATATACAGGGTGTTTCAGTTATTGTTGCATGACTTCAAGATTCGATTTTAGAACTTTTAAAATTAATGCATAAAAGTCTATATAAACATTTGTCGAAAAATATCTGCCGTGGCTTCCGAATAACAGGGTGTTTAACTGTACTTTCTAAATAGTTTTTTTTTAAATATTTCGAACAAATATATGATGTATACAAACACTGAAAATTGGTACACAAGGGTTTTTTGGTACGACAAAACGAACCATGGGCATAGTTTTAACTGTAAGCCGCTAGGAGGGCGCTCTCTACTCTAACCTGTTAGTGTATTAAAATGACCGAAAAATTTTTTCTTGGTTCAATTTTTGCTTTTTTGAATAAGAAAACGGATTCTTCGCACTTTTCAACATAAAAAAAGCTCTCTGTGAGTTTTCGCTATAGTTAGCCGTTTTTGAGATATTTCGATTTTTTAAGGTTCGATGCATTTTTAATTATTTATGGGAGAAATAATATTTTTTTTAAATTTTCGATTTTGGGCATTACAAGTAATTAAGATGATCGTTTAGATTGTGTTTTTAACACAGCAAATAATTGCTAAATCCAAATAAACACAAAAAACAATATTAATTTGTTTAATTTTCCAATATTATTTTAACAAGTTAAATTAATTATTTACAACTAAAATGCTATTGGATAGTTAGGACAAAACATACAAAATCTAAAGTAGTTGCTCGAAATGTAAACCCATTTGTTCAATACACAATTCACAAGCTACGAATTATCGAACGTGGGTCTAGCATTATTCAAATAAAGGCCTTATTTCATCACATGCATTCCTGATTCTGTCTATTAGCATATCTCTTGTGGTACACTTTTTCTTTTAGAAATTCCCACACAAAAAAAATCTAATGGATATAGGTCAGGGGATCGTGGAGGCCAGGCGACTGGTCCTCCACGGCCGATCCATCTTTCTGGATAATTTCGTCCAGCCAGTTTCTAACTATTCTCGAATAATGAGCTGGACAACCATCAAGCTGGAACCAGGCCAATCTTCTTAAATCTAACATAAACATCATCCACATTTTTGGCATGTTCAGCCTTTAAAAATTCCAAGATGGTCGCAGCATTTAAACCTTGCAGGCAAAAGGTTAGGGTCCAAATAGTCGATTACGGTAGATAACCAATCTACACGTTCACACTAAATTCATGCTGATGAAATTTCTTTTCCGAAACTGCATGCGGATTTTCATGTGACCAAATATGTTGATTATGAAAAATTTACCACTCCACGTCTAGTGAAGCATGACTCCATCGGTCCATAAAACGTTACTTAAAAACTCCCTATTATTATCAGTTCTATCAAGAATCCACTGACCAAAATGTGATTCTCGTTCTCCGTCCCCTGGCTGTAGTCCTTGCACAGGTTGCAAATGGTAAGGACGTCTATGGTCATTTCTAAGAACACGGTGAACATGGCCTGCTGAAATTCCCAAGGCACCAGAAACTCTCCTAACACGTGTGGTCGGATCTCTATCAAACTCACGCAGAATCATACGGGTAAATCTGCGCTGACGAACATTTATGTTTTGATCCCTTTGGAGATTTCCAAAACCATTTTCAATTATTTGGCGATGCACTCTCGCAAATGCTGAGCGAGTTGGATGTCGTCTGTTTGAAAATCTTCGTGCGTATTCTCTGGCTGCTTCTGCTGCATCTCCATTTACAAAGCCATACACAAAAAAAAAACA